GCAGATTTGCAACAGACTGTAATAAACATCAATCATTCATGTCACAGCTGTTTATCACGAGATTAATGGGCTGAAAACTCTGCTGAGAGAAAAGTGCCCTCCTCTATCACTCAACCCGTCTCTATCTGTCAGGCCACGCCCACATTCTAGAACACTGGTGGTGGGCCATTGTTAGCGCTGTTGCTAGGCAACACGGAACACTGTCGTCAGGGACAACCAGCCTTTCAGTCTTTCTCTCTTTTTCTGATAGCAACACCATTACTGAGATGAGAAGCCCACGCGCACACATAGACACTCTTAGACACACACTCAGCTTCCATCTTGTGGCAGCAGTACACTGGCAGAGAATTTCACACAAACACAAGAAAACATATTGTTCATTTTCATGCCTGCCTGCTCTCACTCTCCCCCTCCCCTCCAGCTCTCTCACTCTCCCTCTCACACACATCATTACAAACAATACTGTATGATGCAATCACCTGACATCCACTGCGTGTCTGTCACACACTTGCAGCTAATCTTTGAAATGCTTTATTATAATTCAGCACATGAGGAGGTCACAGAGACAGAATACATGAGGAGGAGGACACACATACTAAACAAACGCCCCCTTCCTCCCTCAAACCCCCCGTCAACACCTTCGACACCTCAGCCAACCTGAGAAAAAGGGGATGTTTGATTCTGACAATGAAGCAACGGAACATTTTCCTCCAAAAATAAATTAGACAGGCTTACGTCAAAATAAAAGTAATCTGTATTTCCAACACGTCGGCAGGTGCAGAAACTTCAACACACTGATGGTAGTAACTGAAACCAGCCACAAACAAACTAATAGGAATCATTCAGCGGGAAACCTGAATCTTTGTACAAATTTAACACCAAATCATCTAGTAATTATCAAGACATTTTCTTTGAAGTTGAAATTCTGACCTACTAGTGGTGCAGTCTGTTATGGACGTGAACGTCCAAATAAAACATTTAAAATATTTTACTGCCAGTTTCTATTACAAGATGCTGTCGCCAGATTTGTCAGGTACAGATTTGTCAACATGTCAGAGCAAGCAATCATGATGGCATCACACTCATATATTTATGGAATAATAGGAGGATGCATTGAGCATAAAGCTACATGGCTATATGCTGATGATGTCAGATTATTTGCAACAAATTAACACAAATATGTGCTCTTTGAAATAATTAAAAATTAATAAAGATTTTCTTTATTAAATCTGAATTTTTGGGCTTGCTGTCTGTGGAACAAAAGGATCAGGTTGTGGTTACTATTTTTTGTCTTCTGTTATTTCTTCTTTCTGGTCAAAATTCAACAAATATAGTGTTAGAAAATATAGTTCAGTATTTGTGTTTCACCTAAAGACCACTTTGTCGAAGTACTGATCAGCTACACAGGACCATAGTATAAAATACGGATGTATTTTCAGGTTGGAAAAATGAAGCCAATGCCCAACTACCTAAACACTGCAATTTATCTGAAAGCCACTAGATGGTGGTAGCTAGGGTTGCAGAAAGACTTACGGTCCCGTTGAAGTTTCTTATATGATGTTATGCACACTTTGCTCGAGAGTTGTCTTCAGTGTTGGATGTGATACAACCAATTTTGCTGTATTGGTAGCTAAGGAAATTTGTTTTTCCCAACTAGTTGGTAGTGGTTCCTCAATGTTTCTGCTGCACACTGGGTGTAATCTGTTGCAAAAAAAAAGATCCACCACCAAAAACCTCCTGATGTTAAATTTGGTTGCTACCAAATTCCACAGTTGACTAAAGTTTTTCATGTTTGTTTGCAAATACTTGCTAACTGCTAGGCTGCTAGGGTAGTAAAACTTGAAAAAGTTTGAAGCAAACCAGAAAGGGAGAATGTTTGCCTCTAAAGTAAAAGTTCGGTTTCGTGAAGGCAAATAGTATCCAGTTCCAGTTTGCATCCTTCTTTTCAGTTTACTTGTAGCTCGGACGGTAACTGACTACTGTTTGTAGACAAGTCTGTCACATTCATCCAAATTATGACCACTGCAATCTGCCAGTGACCAAAGCAATCACAAGGAAGTTTTCGCTAACCATCAGGTTGCCATCAGGTCACTGAACCATTTGTAGACAAGCGTGACTGGGGATTTAGAAATAATTTTCCCAGGATTTCAAAAACCAGTGGATGACATTACACTATCTACATCCACTTTTTTATAGTGTCTGGCTGGAATCACATTTATGTATTTCAGGGGTTAATGTTCTCCTTTCTTATTTACAAATCACTTATCTACTGAGTAGATAAATGATGAAGTAATAAGAGTGTGTTATAATGAAAATCTTCTAAACGTTATGTGATCCAACCCAGAAAACATGTGAAATGGCTAACATTCTTGACTGTTTCCAGATACACCATATGGACAAAAGTGCTGGGCCACACTTCCTAATCAGTAAATTCAGGTTTTTTCAGTTCCATTGCCACAGGTGTATAAAATCAAGCACTTAGCCATGCAGCGTCTCTCCACAAACATTTTAAACATTACAAAGAGTAGGCCTCTAGCATCAGCAAAATACAGCACCAGAAGCTTCATGGCATGGGTTTCCATGGTCGAGCAGCTCCTAATGTGTGGTTGGCCCAGTACTTTCATCCATATAGCATATCAAATGTCTGTTGATGGCAGATTGCTCAACATTCGTGAAGATAATATTTTAAAATAAGACTTTAAGAAGGCTATGGATTCTGCCGTCCAATCATTTTATAAGACAAATTATTGTTAACAGTAATAAAGGTTTTTGTGCACAAAGTCTCATAGGGCATGTTATCAATGGCCTACAGACGTGTTGGAAATCACATTATTTTTTCTGTGTGTGTGGAATGTTCTGATTTGATCTTTTAGTTCAGTTCAGTTCCTTTTAGTCCCAGAGTTATACTCAGAACCTCAGAGCTCTCCAGATGATCCAAAGGTGAGTCCCTGTGCCACAAATAAACTGCAGGTGAGTTCTTCTGTTCTGGATCCTACTGGTCATCATGTGTGGTACAATATGCCCAGATACAAGTACAGGGAAACTGGTTCTGAACTCTCTTGGAGGTCCTGGCAGGGGTCTCATAGATATGAACTTTAGAGATCTGAATATTCAGGACTGGAGGTGTAACTTGAGAGCAATTTTTCTGATCCATACTTCTCTAAAAATGCATCTTGCCATTTTAAGCTTTTAGTGAAGACAGGAATTTCAAACCTTCAACTGCCACCTTTTAATCAAATGTAAAAAAAAAAATGCAACAAAGTGAGTTTTGTGTTCAGTCTACTGTAGTTCATATAAACCAGAAGTGTGACTGCACCCTGAGAACTTTCCATTAAATCTAGACAAATAAAATAAATTCAGACATTTCACGACTCATTTAGACAGCAGAGTACACTTGCAAATACAAAATCTAAACACCAGATTCCACAAGAGGCAGATCAGCTCCGGACCATCTAGAGAGTTAAGAAGCAGATCATGCCGTACCAACATGAACAGAGCCCAATAAGAATCAATCAAGGTGCCTTTAATGTTCTTGAGGAGGAGGTAGACAGAAGAGACAGATAACAGTGATGTGGTAGTCCTACTGTGGTGAAGTTGTAGTCCTTAATAACAGTCCTGAATCACGTCCTGCTGAGGTCAGTTTGTATCCTCTCTGTGGTGATTTTTTTTCCCTTTGAGGTTAACGTGTCATCCGGTTTTGGTCAGACTGTAATTGTTTCTGTGGTTAAGTCCTGATTCTTCCTGGTTTGGCTACAATGGGGTTTGTGGTTTGCTAGGAGGAGGAAGAAGAAGAGGAAGCAGGTGACAGTTTTATCACAGATTGTGAAGGCTGTACACAAACATACATAATCTGTGCCATGATCACAAACTATATACCATATATACGGCTTCTGTTCACATTATCGGACATCTCAAGACAGCAAGACTACAGCTGACTACAGCTGACCAAAATTATACTAAAATCAAAAAGTGCAACTGTGAGAGAGCAGAATGTGGAAGAATTAAAGCTCAAAGGTCAGATCAGGAGTTCTACTACCATGCTAGTTGATATTATGGCAAAAAGTGTGTTGTGCACCCTGAGTTCACTCTCAGGTGTCAGGCTGCCAATGCAGAGTTCTGCTCCAACATCCCGAGGCAGGGTCCTGAGGGGTTAGAGGATGACTTCCACTATGCAACCTAAGCCATGTTGGGCTACACATGAATTTGAACACCCTGAAAGGAAGAGTAGCCAATTTAATCAGGTATAGTTATTTTTTCTATTTACTTCGAACTTTCAGACAATCAGCTTTTCACTGGTAATGTCTTGGATGTTTATGTGAACACCGCTTACATACCTTAAAGATATGTTATTCTTAAAAGAAATCCAGATTAAGGAGTTTGGACCTTGACCCAGAACAAGAACAGTCTTCTATAAAAGCACGTCAGCACGATGCTTCAGTGGTAAGCCCTGTTGCATGTTCTCCCCATGTTTGAACAGCTTTTCTCTGAGAACTATGGTTTTGTCATAATTGCCATAACTGAAAACCAGGCTAGACTTATGCTCCCTGTTTAGGATAAGGGCACTCACAAAATCCAGGAAGCCAGAAAGAGATGTTTGATCTCAATTGTTTTACTTCCTGGTAATATAAGTGTTATGGAAAAAGAAAAAAAAAGTTGCTACATTGCACAGTACACAAAGCATTCTTGCAATAATGTTACTATTAACATAATACTTTTTTCTATTAGCAAAATATGTTTGTCAGCAAGATTGCTGAATTTCATGAAATCTGTTAACTGGTTTACATTTGGTACTAAAGTTTGTATAATTTCTTATATTTACTGAAGATTATTATTTCCAGATAGCTCTTTCCTGTGGGTGGTCAGTCAGAGGTGAGGTAATGTTAGCTACATGATTTTCCTACTGTCAGGGGGATTACAGTGAGAGTAATCCATTATCATTAGTTTAACAGGACCAAACTGGCATATATTGTTATTTCAGAATGATGTCTATAAGTAACAACAGGAAATCCTAGGCTACAAACTGGGCTTTTCTTCTTCTGGGAGAGACTACCTTCCTTTGGTGTGGACTTTGGGCTTTGTGACTTGATGGACCTTTACAGAAAAGCTACATAACACATTAGAGGAAATAGATAAAACGGTCACAATGTTGGCACTTAAAATGATTTATATGTAATTAATACATGTTTATGTGAATGAGATTGTCAAGACTGTTCTGGAACTTACAAAAACACTGCTTTGATTGCCTTTTTCCATCCTTTTTTTTCTTTTATTTTCAGACATTTTTAAATCAAGGCTACATGAGGTACACCAGGCTAAGGTAAACTTCATGTTGAGGTCCATACTGGGATCTGAAATGGATAATCTACCTTATTGATAACACCACCCGCTTTTGCCAGAGCAATCACGTGACCAGAACATCTGGCCAAAACATCTGGTCAAGCTTACAAAGAAGCCCAACTTCCCAAATCTAACATCTACTGTTGAAAGCAGGTACAGAACACTCTCTCTGCTGTTGGCTTATTGATCTTTGATGTCATGCCTCTATTTTCTGTTTTTCGGGGTCAGGTTGCATTGATAGCAAATTATGCAGGGTATTATTCTCCCAATGTCTGCAACATTTTTCAGTTACCCGTGGGAGTTCCCAGTTTTCTCTTGGCTGAAATGGGATCTACAATCTGCATGGCTCCTTCAAGCTTGGATTGTACTGGAACCTTCCAAAGAACTGCTAAAAGTAGAGGTACAGGGCAATACTCTTGCATTTTCACTAGTAGATGTCAGATTTCATATACCCTCAAAGATGTAGTTTTGATACAATTTCATGTAATTTTAAGAACAGCCTAGCTACAGACATAGTGGCAGCTTTGTTCCAGCACTAGTCTTTGAATTGATTGCAACTCTATGAGTAAGCCGTAAGAGAACCGTTAATGTTTCGATATTCATCCAGTCAAGCTTGCAATGGAACAACCTGAGCTTTTCGAAATTTTTATGTAATAGATTAGAGCTACAGAATTTATAGATTATTTTTATGTGGCTACTTAGCGGCCTGTCCTTTCAATAGTCAAGGCCTGAACTGTTTGTTAAGAAAAGCAAATAGGAGAAGTGATAGACAATTTAGAGGTCTGGAACAAGTTTGTTTAGCCAGTACAAATACAGACTAGTATCTGTTCTAGCGAGTTAGCTTGCTATGGTCTGGACATTCTGTGTGCGCCTTTTTAAGAATTGATTTATAAATTTACCTTTACACAATCTTGGGAAAAACATGCAATTATGGCATCACCACATCAATTGGCCAAGTCCGGTTGCCTGTGACCAAACTGCCCCCTCTTCCTCTCCTTCTGTCTAGCTACTCCCTGTTCCAGCTGAGGTGGGATTTATAGTCTCAAACTGTCATCCATACAGTATGAAATTGTAATCCTGTCGCAGAGAATCAATTTCAGTTCCAGAGGTTGTAGTCCTTTTGCTGATTTTGCAGTCCGTGTGATGGTGACTTCCTGCTAGGCCTCCAGATTTTGGTTCTGTTGGCGGAGGGAAGGCTAGAAGAACCAACGAAATGCCTCACTGGCTGGGACAGAGGGAGGCCGCTAAGAATAGGAGACAAAATGTGGCGTGAGACAGAAGAAAACTGACAGTAAAATCGAAATGACAAATTAAATACACACCTAAATGTCTGTTTTCTACTATTTCTTTCCTGAATCTTAGTCTTTTACCTTTGACTTTTTTTCAGTTAAATTGTAAATATTGGATCACATCAACATCAGCGCTGGCTTGCAGTTTCTGCTGTGTTTCTTGAACCGTTTGTGTGGGTAAACACATCCGCAGTGATGCAGGCTGTAGATCAAAGTCGGTCTGCTGCGACTATACTCTGCCTTCCTCTGAAAAGCTGCCAGCAAAACTTCATAGAGTCAATATAGATTTTCTGTCTTGTCACCTTGTGATAAAGTTTAATTTCATTATAATTTAGGGTTTGGGATATAAATTAACTTTGAAAAATTAACAGCAGATCTCTTTGACTGTGTGGATACACAAACTATCACTGGTTTAGTTTAATACTGAGATAATCTTAAAAAAGAGGGTTTGTCGAAAGTAGAGCCACCAGTCACAAAGTAAAGTATTCATCTGTAAAGGGAAAGCATGTAAAAACAAGTTCTTTAATATAAATTAAAAGGTGACCCCAATAATGAAGCAGTCCCCAGCATTTTTGGGGGTGTGGCCTCTTTGAGAGATGGTTGGCGACATAGGTTCAGCTCCGCTACATTTGGACTGTTTGATCTCTTTGAGCCTTTTGGAGGATTTTATTGCAATTATCTGATGATTAATATAGTCGTAATAGACTAATATATTTCAATGCAACTTTTCCTGTTGCTTTCGATCTTTTAATAAGATAGTAAGATAATAAGTTTATTTTATGGTCCATGAAATAGTCTTTATACACCTCTGTACAGCTGCAATTCTGTATGGTGAGTGGTCTGTGGTTTTCAGTAGGGATACATTGTAGATTGACAGAGCCATATGTGACAATTTCGCTATTTTTAACCAACTATGACACATGTACTCTTCTTCTGTGCGAAACTGAAAAATATGTTTAAGAAAAAAACCTGAAAGACAAAAATGTTACTTCTCAGAATATACTACCACTTCATTTCCTTTATGGTGGTTTCCATCATATTCAACAAAATATGAGCTCAGTATTAAACTGGCTAAGTTTCATGTGACTATAATAAAATGCTTTCCCTTCATATGCTCTGGGTAAAAGAAGGCGTAGAAAAGTGCAGAACCAGTCAAAATGTGGGAGGTTTTTGTAAGATGTTTAAGATGTTGTGCAGTCTCACTTAAAGCATAATTTTTCAACCTGCATAATTGTTACATTGCTGTGATTTTTTTTTCTTTTTTAATCTTTGATGGGATTTTTTCACAGTTCTCCCATTCCTGGTGAACTCCTGTTGCTCCTGTCCTATTCTGACCTACTTGTCAACCAATTAGCATTTGGCAGATGCAAATGTCATATGGTAGCAATCTGTAGTTAGGACTTTGGAGGCCAGGATGGGAGCACGTCTGTGGTGGAAAACCCTTCTCTGCTCACTCCGTGAATAGAAAAATGTTTGAAGTGAAACCGAGTGTGAAAAACAATGAAAAGTTTCCACCACTGCCATGATCTCTCTTTGTATTTTATAACTTCACTCTTCTCTTTGGCTGGCTAACGGACCAACAACAAAACAAGCAAGAATGGCCCACAGACCAGTTGTACCACTTATTAGTACACTGGCGCCACTGCAGGTAGAAAGGGCCATCCTTAGACTCGAACCATAAATTCTGCGTAATGAGCGACATGTGGTCACCCTACCTGCTAAGAGTTGACCATCAAAGAAGTCAGTGCTTCAGCTTTGGTCAGTGACACTCACTAATTAGCACAGTTAACTGAATACTCAATTACATCATCTCATCCAAATATGGTCACTTCTAGCTCCCCAACCGCCAACATGACGATGGACATGAAGTTGAAATTAAGGCTTCAAAACTGGACTTTTTAAAAGTGACGATGCCTACATATGCGGGGTATGATATCCTTGCATATGTTGCATCGAGTGCACTGAAATCAGCTTTGACTGGTTTTGAAATCACTTTGAAGTTAGTGGCCAGTTTGCTCTGGGCTCTGACAGGTTATCCTGCTGCAGAGAAAGGTGGAGAAAACTACCCAGGGTGCTTTGCTGTTCATCTCACAGAGTAAACTTGGTGCCAGGCTGAGAGTTTGTCAGGTCGACATCAAAGAGAGCGGAAAGAATGAGGCAAGAGTGTGAAACCACCTGCTGACACACACACACACAGAGAGAGAGAGAGTTGCCCTCACAAACATTCACATACTTTGTAACACACACACACACACATGCCGCTGTCACTTGCCGTTAGCCTCCACAGGTCCAATTAGCGTGTAATTGAGGAAGATTATGGCTGCTAATTCACTCTCTTCCCATCACACACACACACACTCAGTGTTTCAGCGCGTGTCCTCACAGCACATGTGTGCAGATGAGGGAATAATTAGTGATAGTTTGTAGCGATTCCCACAGGAAGTGTGTGTGTGTGTGTGTGTGTGTGAGAGAGAGAAAGGGAGAGAGATATATAGAGTCATCAGTGAGGTCGAATGCTGGTGTCAAAGAATTATTGATCGCCACTAATTCTTATTGCGCTCACACGCTCTTATACACACGCACGCACACAGCAGTGGTAGATCACATAAATATTCGCCGTTCCCTCCCTCTCGCCCGGCCGCTTTATCACCGTGAATCAGTGTTGGTGTGTGTGTGTGTGTCTGCTGGCGGCTTGCCAGACCTCAGCAGGGACCGAGCTCTCGCTTTTCACCACCCACCATCTGCACAGCACTCACACATACACACTCAGCAGGGTGAGCGATGCCTTCCAGCTCGAGCATCACTGCCAGTGATCTGGGTTAAGTGAGCCAGGACACACACACACACACCGAGACACACACGCACACATACACAGAAGACACATACACACAGACAGAGATGCGCACACACACAGAAGAAAGAGAAGATGAGACATACATTTGCTAACGTCCAGCCAATGCTGTGCGTGTGCCCGTGTGTATGCGTGCGTGTGCGTGCATGAACTCACCTCCAGCACCCCCCCTCCTCCCCCCGGCTTCTTCTTCAGCTCCTCGCACTTCCTGAACTTGCAGATCTGGTGACCCGTCTTCCTGTTGCGGCACGATGAGCAGACGCCACAGTTGATGAGCCGCCTGCACGGCCCGCACACGCCACACCGCTTCCTCTTTCTTTTAGCCACCGTCCCGGATGACGAAGATGATGATGACGACAGGGAAACGGCCGCCGCTGTCATGCCTGATGATGGGGGCGAGGAGGAGGAGGGGCAGGGGGAGGAGTTGGCATGCTGCTGGCAGTCTGTTAGCGCCCGCTGGCCGCCTGTCATCTGAAAGGCGCTGCTAGCGTCTGAGATCCCGCCCCCTGCTGACCCCATCGCCATAACAATGACCCCGGGAGGTAGTCCCAGCCCCCCCAGGAAGCTGCCACCCATAACCCCTCCTCCGTTGCAGCTGCCACCCTCTGATAGGCCTATCATGTCCGCGTGGGTGTGTCCCTGCTTGTTCATGACGCCACAGTCTGTTCCGCCACTGTATCCAGGAAGGAAGTTCCCGTTGCTTGATGCCATGGCGTGATGGTGTGCCGTTCCCTGTGAAACAGGAAGTGAGGCAGTGTGTCCGTGTTTCTCAGCCCCTCCACCGTCACTGCTCCCACCACCTCCTCCCCCTCCTGACCCACTGCTGCTGCTCTGGTGCATGCTGGTACTATGGGGGTGCGAGGAGGTCATGTGACCCGGCGTCGCAGAGGGGTGATGATGATGGTGGGGGTGGTGCGTCGGCGTGGCCGCCACGGGTTTAGGTCGGCCCCAGAACATTGCCGCCGGGTGGTTCATGTTCATGTTCATGTTGTCGTGGCAACCCCAGGGCGTCGTCGCCATAGCCCCAAGCCTGGCAGCGGTGGGAGGGAAGATGGGGGCAGCCGCGGCCAAGCGGGCGGCCAGTTTGGCTGACTGAGGGAAGTTTGTAACGTTCATGTTCATGTTGACGTTGGTCTTGTAGAAACTGGCGATGGAGGAGCGGTAACGATCCATTTCTGTAGTGTAGTCCAGCATGGGAGCCAGGCCCGACACCTGCAGGACATAGCACCAATCACTGTTATCAATACCAGCCATAATCAATTTAAAAAAGCACACGGATAAAGTGGCTTTACAGGGAGGCTGGTGGGCAGAGCTGTCTTCATGGAGCAAAATACAAAGGACAGAGCGGTTCACCTGTTAATGGAGCCTCAAATATCAGCAAACACCAAGGCGACAGAGTTGATACTATGCCTAATGACGACTGCTAAAAGCTGGCTACACACCAACAAGTCCACCTCTGAATTGCCCAACAAAACCAAAATGAAGGTGTTGGAGTGGCCTAGCCAAAGTCCCGATTGAGCTGCTGTGGCATGACCTTAAACAGGCTGCTCATGCTTGAAAACATTCCAGTGTGGCTGAATTAAAACAATGCTGCAGAGTAAAAGTAGGCCAAAATTCCTCCACCATGACACGAAAGACTCATTGGCATTGCAATCGCTGGTGCCAAGGGCAGAACAACCAAGCACTGTTTAGAGCAGGGGTCCCCAATCCCAGTCCACGAGGGCCGGTGTCCCTGCAGGTTTTAGATATGTCCTTGTTCCATCACAGCTGATTTAAATGGATAAATTACCTTCTCAACATGTCTTGAAGTTCTCCAGAGGCCTGGTAATGAACTAATCATGTGATTCAGGTGCGTTGACCCAGGGTGATATCTAAAACCTGCAGGGACACCGGCCCTCGCGGACTGGGATTGGGGACCCCTGGTTTAGAGAACAATTACTTTTCACAAAGGACCTAGTGGGTTTGGATAGCTTTTTTCCTTAATAAATGAAACCATCATTTAAAAACTGTGTTTTGTATTTACTCAGGCTATCTTTGTCTAATATTGACATTAAATCTAAACGATTTACCGAATTTCCCGGAGGGATTAATAAAGTTTTATCTAATCGAATCTAAAAAAAAAAATCCAAGACAAATATGCAACTTGCTACAAAATCTGGAAGGGAGCAAATACTGTTGCACAGATCTGTTCCACGTTTTCCTTCCTTCACAGCTCACAAAGAAATATCCGCTGTATTCACCAGTGCAGTTTTATTCATCTCTATTATTTGCCTACAAACATTCGTTCATAAGAGCCAATCTAAGAACTACTTCATTCCAAAGTACAACTCTTAATGAACAGTACCACATTCTTTCTTTGTAGTAAATCCATTTTTGCCTAGACTTTGTCTGTTGTCTCACTGCAGGAAACATCTATTTTGCAGTTGGTCTGACCACACCGTCGCTGTATTCTCTGGAGCAGAGTGACAAGAAGGAAACTGAAAAGTAAAAGTTCTGTAAATGTGAGCATTAATTAAGCTGGCAGTCCCCCCCTAGCTGTGAAAATGTGGGGGTCATTTTCACAGCTAATGGATCAATCCTTAAAAGGCTTGTTTCGTTCTTTGAAAGTAACGCAGTGGATTGGACTAATGAGAAAGCGTATTGACCGAACAATCGACCAGCTGACCCTGAGATCGGCGCCCTCGCAGCAGAGCAGCGGTGGGTTCTGTAATTGATGCCTACCTGGATGATCTAATTGAGTTTTTGGCAATGACCCGAGGCCAGTTTCAACAGGAACCTTCTAAATTTAATTTGATTTAACCTTCGCTTCTCCCGCTGCTTCTCCAGCCCTGCACTGGGAGACCAACATGGATGCAAAAGTTTACACGTCAACTCACCTGTCCCTGTCCGCCGTAGCCATGGTGATTCGGGTGATGGTGCGAGGGGGCTGAGCTTCTCTGGAGCATCGAGGAGAGGTCACTGTCCACACACACGCCACTCGTCATGCCCGACATGACCTCACGCACACATATACATACAAGCGCACACACACACTCACTCACACACACTCAGGTGGGCTTTGTTGCACAGGAAGCTAGTTAGTTCTGCGTGGTCGCCACGTTTTGCTCTGAAAGTAAAAAGAAAAGGCAGGTGAAGGCGCTGCATTCAATAAAGAAAACCCTCACTCTTGTGGATCATCTTTTTCAGGCTCAGCAACAAGATTTTCTGTGGTTTTAGTCCCACAAATGATCTACAGAGAGTATTTTAATGGAGCTGATTGATTGGTCAGTTAAGTCGGCAGGCCATTACCCTCAGTTATTCACGTCTAATCTGAAAGTAAACCCAGAAAGTAAAGCTGTCAGAGGACATGAAAGACCGACTATCCTCTTGACAGCAAGCGAGAGGAAATCCCTTAAGCCTGCATTTCCTCTGAGGTTCAGCAGGGGGCGACTGCTCATAGCTGCAAAAAGAAGTCTAACTGTGTAGAAGTCTGATTCTAACTCGATGTCTGACCTCGGCTAATGCTTTCCTAATGAATTTAGGAAATTTTAGGAAATTTAGTCGAGAATAAGCTCTCCTCAAATCATCGCATCAACAGCTCACTTGGTTTCAAAAACCATAATGGCAGCGCACAAAACGCTCCAACAAACTACCTGGTGACATCACGGTGGCTACGTCTTATCTTTTATATGGAGATGGCGATGACACAATGCTGCAAACAAAAGAGGAAACAAAGAACAAGCTGCCATCTTCTTCGTCTTCCTTTGTGGAATTCCCTTTTCCTCAGGTGATGACGTGCCCCTGAGCAAGCAAGCGCCGAATCCCCACCAGGGACACCACAACATCTGACATCGAGTGAACCGAGGCCGCTATTTGTAGCTCGTCAGCGTCGGTTTCAAGGCCAGGTCGTGACCCCAGTGCTTCCACGGAGGGCACTCAATAGGCAAAAAAGTTCACGTAAGGCAGATCTCAGGTCCAAGCAGAGGCCTCGAAATATCAGAAAGGGTGGAATAATCTGATTATAAGTGACCTCTGACCTCTCGGTGTGCACACGCACAAACTCACACACACACAAATGGTTAAGTCCAACTGTAAAGGAGTCATTGTCGTTTGTGAGCGTGTGCAGAATAAACGGGCTGCAAATGTGTGAGCTTGAAAATGTGTGTGCGTGGAGAAAGAAAGAGACTGAAATTGTGTCCCTGTGTGTGTGTGTGTGTGTGTCTATGTGAAAAGAATTGAATGTGCGCAGCCTCAAATGTGTGTGTGCGTCCGTGCGCTCTGCTCTGCGTGCGTGTGCGCAGCCAGTGTGTGCGTCAAGCCTGTGTGTGTGTGTCTCCCCCCCCCTTCCTCACCACCACCACTCTCCCACTCCCCCGAGGCGTAACTAATTACCCTGTCTGGTCAACCGGGCTGGCGCGAGCTCCGACAGAAGGTCATGGTGGCCACCGGCCGCGAGGGGGGAAAACGGCTCTCCCACGCGACACATTAACACCTCCCCTCCTTCCTCCCCCCCCCTCCCCCGGCACAGCACGAGAAAGGAAAAGGAAGGAGGGAAGGGAGGGGAAGAAGGAGGAGAGGGAGGGGGGAGGGTGAGTGTTGGGGGGGAGGGGGGTCAATCAAAAAAAAAAAAAATAGCCAGACTCGATAACGAGCGGTAAATACCGTGAACACAGCATGCAGTCCGACAGAGAGAGGAGGAGTAAACGAGAAGATGGACGGCGCTTGCTGCTGCTGCTACTTACCGGGCCCGCGAGGAGGAGGAGGTGGTGGAGGAAGAGGGTGATGAGAAGAAGAGGAGGAAGGAGGAGAAGAGGAAGAAGACCGTCTGGGAATTAGCCCGCCACGGATCATGGCTGGCGGGAAGGAGACAGAGAGAGAGAGGAAAGGAGAGGAGAGGAGGGGTAGGGGGGAGAAAGGAGCACCGGGAGGGATTTGTCGGTCTGTTGGTACCGAGGAGAGGAGGAGGAGGAGGAATGGAGGGGGGGAGGAGGAGGAGGAAACAGAGGACGAGGAGGAGGAAGAGGACGGGGAGGACGAAGAGCAAGAGAAGAAGGAGGAGGAGGAGGAGGGGGGTAACGGATAACGGGGGGCGGATGGATAATCACCTGGGCTTGGCACAAGCCAGTGCGAGGCAGGGAGAGAGAGACACACACAGAGAGAGAGAGAGAGAGGCGTTAAATTAGCCCGGGTGAGGCGAGGAGGAAGCAGCTCTGTGGAGACCCTGCAGGGGTGGGAAAAAGAGACGAGCTCGAGGAAAGGAAAAAAAACGGCACCATGGGAAGAAAGGAGAAGGACGGGGGAGAGGGAGGGGGTGGGGGGTGATGAATAATGGCGGAGGTTATGAACGGATACGTGCGTCGCTCTTGCGACAGAGTGAAGGGAGCGAGGGAGGGGGGAGGGTGGTGGCAGGGGGTACACACAACGCTGATGTTCAGTAACAGGGAGGGGAGGTGTGTGTGTGTGTGGTGGCTTGTGCCCTCCGCCGTGTCTCCTGTTGTCAGCGGCGCCCGTGGCGACGTGCCGTGGCGTGTGCGCAGTGTGAACGGTCTGATTGGCACTGAGGCGAGGTGAGGCGAAAACAGGAGGCGCGAGACCCTGCAGATGATTGGCTGCCTGCCGGTAACAGAGAGAGAGATGGAGAGACCTTCGAAACCACACGGAGAGAGAGAGCTGAGCGAGGAAACACTGAATGAATTTACTTGCTATTTTTGTGACAGTGTGGATGATTTTAACTGAGTCCTGTGACTTTGTTGGATTGCTGTTGTATTATTAGTGCGATTGTTTACTACATTTTTGTTAATGTGGACTTGTTGGACCCAGATGTGCCCACATTTAAAGAGGTCGGAGGGTAAAGTTTTCAGAATGTTGTGGTCGTTACTCAAAAAGTTTAAAGCGTTAAACATTACTTGTTACTTTCCTTAAAAGCAATGCAGTGTGTTGCTTATTTACTCTCCAGAGAAACTAATTTGGTTACTGTTACTTTTGCTTAACTCTGTAACATGAACTTAAACACACTGTCACATAATGTGATAACAATATAAACCTGAGGCTACAAACCCCTATCCTCATCATATATGCTAATGAGAATACACATATGATTTTTCTTATAGTACAAACACAAAACCAACAACAACAAGCAAACTTTGAAGTGATTGCTGGTGCGTATAAAGCACCTTTCCGCTTAGTCTGAGGAGTTATTTCACCCACACCTTGTCTAACAATTGCACACACATACACACACACAAACACACACACACACAGGCTCATCAGGTACGGTATCTTGCCCAAAAATATTTTTTTACATAAAGAGTAGAGCAGCCAAGGACAGTAGACAACCTGCTCTTCCTCTCCGCTACAGCAGCAAAGCAGCTTTGCATTGACTCAGAATCGAACCCGGATCAACTGCTCTAACTACGGCTGCAACGATTCATCGAGTAATTCCCGTAATTTGATTATAAAACTCTTGACACAGAGAGTGCTTCATTTAACACATGACTCTGCAGTATGCCGATGTGTTAAATCAGCGGTCCCCAACCTTTTTTGTGCCACAAACCTGTTTGTGTGACAATACTTTCACGGACCGGCCTTTAAGGTGTCGCAAACAAATACAACAAAATAAAACCAGTACCGGTACCCAAAAAAAGATTTATTCATAACACACAGGAAAAAACCCGGGGAAACAGAGTCAATGATAAAAGTGATTTAAAAAAATAACGATAAAAAACAATAAAAACCCTGAAAACAGTACATTTCACACCCAAGCCTCAACTGTCACGGCCCGGTACCAAACGCCTCACGGACTGGT